CTGCCCCCTTGTGCCTCCTTGTCCTGCAGTCCCCCAGAGCCACCCCGTGGGCTCCCCGCGGGTCCCAGGGCCAGAGCTCACTGCCGGGACCATCCCTGTGTGCACTGACAGGATCTACCGGTACCAGATGCACGACTACGCCTTCAGCAGCAACGAGCGCCTGCTGCACGCCCTGGGCGGCGACGACTTCGCGCGGCTGCTGAACCAGAGCATCGACGAGGCCATGCAGAAAGCAGGCTTCTCCCAGAAATTCATCAACCAGGTGGTGTGTCCGGCCATGAGGGTGAATTACGGCCAAGGGGTCACCATCCCTGGCTTTGTGGGTGAGTGTTTGAGGGAGCCTCCTGTCCTGGGCGTGGAGAATGGTTTGGAAGAGAACAGAGATGGTGCTGTGGGCAGCCTTGTCCTTGATGAGCTGGCAGCTGTACTAATTAGCAAAGAATGGAAGCAGCCTTGCCCTGGACAGGTCACCAGCCTGCCCAGTGAGGATGTGTGGTATAAAAGAGTGGGTTGTGCAGCGGCGAGGAAGAGGAAGGAGGAAGAGAGGAGTCAGTGTTGCGTGGTGTTGCCCCTTTACAGAGAAAAGATGGAAGTTTACTGGAAAGGATAATAAAGGGCTGGTGCTGGCCACATCTTCAGCATCAGTCATTTCAGCCCACTGTCAATGGGGAATGGTTTGGAAGTTTTATTGAAGTATAATAAAAGGCTGATGCCACTATCTTGGCTGTCAGTCGTTCACGTCCAGCAGCAATGGGGAAAGTCATCTGGGTCCACCAACAATTGGTGCCCCATGTGAGGAGTGACAAAAGCTACAACACCCATCCTGGATGTTGGGTTCCTGCTCCCTGGGCTCCCAGCTCTGTGTCCCAAAGGGATGTTAATCCCCCCAGTTTTGCAGTTTGTTTTTCCAGTGTTTCCCTGCTCTGACAGAGGTGGTTTCCTTGCAGGTGCTGTGTCCCTGGCCGGGGTGCAGTCAGGCCTTTGGTCTGTGAAAGGGGGGAACAAACTGGTGTGCTCCGGCCTCATCTACTCCTCCAAGGCCGAGGTTATCCCAGGAACAGTCGTGTCCATAGAGCCAAAAACCAGACACCAGCGTGGTGGTGAGTGGGGCTGGAGTTCCCTTCAGTGGGGAGGGGATGGTGNCTGAGCTGGGATTGGGGAGCTGAGCTGGGATTGGGGGCACTGAGCTGGGATTGGGGAGCTGAGCTGGGATTGGGGGCACTGAGCTGGGATTGGGGACTCTGAGCTGGGATTGGGGACTCTGAGCTGGGACTGGGGACTCTGAGCTGGGATTGGGGACTCTGAGCTGGGATTGGGGAGCTGAGCTGGGATTGGGGAGCTGAGCTGGGATTGGGGAGCTGAGCTGGGATTGGGGACTCTGAGCTGGGACTGAGGACACTGAGAGAGGACTGGGGACATTAACCTGAGATTAGGGACACTGAGCCAGGAATGGAGAGACAAACCAGGCATCAGGGACTCAAACCCAGGATTAGGAACTCAAACCCAGGATTAGGACATAAACCCAGGATTAGGGACTCAAACCCAGGATTAGGGACACAAAGCCAGGCTCTGGTTGCTCTGCTCAGCCTCTGACTGCTGACACCTCAACAGCCCCACCTGGACAGGTTTTCTGACCCTACAGGGACTAACAACGCTCTCAGAGCTTTCAATTCTACTTTAGAAAGGGAAAATTATGGCAAAGACCTTTTCAAACCTCATTTGCAATCCCCTCCTGATTTAATGAGGGGATTCACTGTCCCTCTCCATGCCCACCCATCCCTACATTCCCCACCAGGCATGCACAGAAACGATGCCAAACCATGCCCAGGTTTATTGCAGGTGCTGTTCCCTGAGCACAGGCACAGCCTGGAGGCAGCACCCTGAGGGGAGCAGGGGGATCAGAGGATTGGGGCTCTTACATCCATGATCATCTTGCAGTTCTTGCAGGGCCCGATCTGGCTGAAGAGCTGCAGGATCAGAGCCTCGGTCACGTCCCTGGAGAGGTTCCCCACGTACCTGAGGGACAAACACAGGCAGGGACAGGGATGGAGACATGCTGGAGCATGGAGAGGGGCTTGGGAGCAGGGATGGCGTGATGGGAAAAGGGGGAACGGCCTCCCACTGCTGAGGGCTGGGGGAGGTGGGACACTGGGATGGAACTCCCAGGGGAGAATCCCTGGGGATGCCCAAGGCCAGGCTGGACAGGGCTCAGAGCAGCCTGGGACAGTGAGAGGTGACCCTGACATGGCAGGGGTGGCACTGGATGGGTTCATGTCCCTTCCCACCCAAACCAATCCAGGATTCCATGGCTCCATGAAGTTGACCTTCCAAACTGATTCCCCAGGTCAGAGTCCAGTTCCCATATCCCTACACGGATTCATTTCCCAGTACAGAAATTCCAGTTCCCATATCCCTACACTGATTCATTTCCCAGTACAGAAATTCCAGTTCCCATATCCCTACACTGAATTCCTAGTATAGAATTCCAGTTCCCATATTACTACTACAATTTCCCAGTACAGAATTCCAGCTCTCACACCCATTGATCTCCCAGTACAGGAACTCCAGTTCCCATATTCCTATTATGATTTCCCAGTACAGAAACTCCAGTTCCCATAGCCCTACACTGATTCATTTCCCAGTACAGAAATTCCAGTTCCCATATCCCTACACTGAATTCCCAGTATAGAATTCCAGTTCCCATATTACTACTACAATTTCCCAGTACAGAATTCCAGCTCTCATACCTTTACACCTATTGATCTCCCAGTACAGGAACTCCAGTTCCCATATTCCTATTATGATTTCCCAGTACAGAAATTCCAGTTCCCATATCCCTACACTGATTCATTTCCCAGTACAGAAATTCCAGTTCCCATATCCCTACACTGATTCAGTTCCCAGTACAGAAATTCCAATTCCCATATCCCTACACTGAATTCCCAGTATAGAATTCCAATTCCCATATCCCTACACTGAATTCCCAGTATAGAATTCCAGTTCCCATATCCCTACACTGATTCATTTCCCAGTACAGAAATTCCAGTTCCCATATCCCTACACTGAATTCCCAGTATAAAAATTCCAGTTCCCATATCCCTACACTGAATTCCCACTATAAAAATTCCAGTTCCCATATCCCTACACTGAATTCCCAGTATAGAATTCCAATTCCCATATTACTACTACAATTTCCCAGCACAGAATTCCAGCTCTCACACCC